TCAACTCAACAGAATAGAAAGTACAATTAAAATGCTGAGACTAGTTCTGTCATGCACTTGGTAGATCATGCATGTCTTCAAGTATTTAGAAAAGTGTTCTATTCACGTTCCACATTGCTTTGCCCTAACAGCCAAGCCCTGGCCATAGGCCTACTTTAAATTGTTACATAATTTCAGATGCTTGATTTAAAAATGCCCCATTCAGGCAGCATTGTATTATGCAGTTTGGGAATATGACTGCAGATGCAATTGTCATAAAATTCAAAATCAGGTAGATTTATCAATACCTTTTTCATAAGTTACTGTTTGAGGCTCTCAATTGACTTCTGAGTTTCATTCCCTCAAGTGACTTAGTCTCACTACAAAGTAAGGTTGGAAGAGAGATGAATGCTGCAGAATATCTAGAAATCCTAAGGGCAAATTAATATTTCATTATGTTTAAGATTGGTTTTTGCCTTCATAGTACCATTCTGAAGGAATGTTCAAGAACTAAGATGAACAACCATTCATACATCTAATCTTCTACTTCTAACAACATGTCCAGTAGCATGTGAATATTTAGCTTCTAGACATGCTCATTTGAGAGCCAGGCCCTCAAAAATAAAATATTTTCCATTGATTTAGAAATAAATTGTATAATAAAATATCACATGTAAGAAATTAGATCTTTTCTTAAATTTCAAAGAAATTAGATTTCTAACAGTCTTATACCATTTCAAGTTAAGAATATAGAGATGAATTTAAGAATACAACAATTTTAATTTTCAAATCATTTGATAGAATCCTGAAGTAGTAAGATTTTAATAACACATTTGTTTTTTTTTTCCCTCTGCTACCTGATTTCTGATATTTTTTGATGTTCATCGCATGTGATCTTGAATATATACAATGGAAGAAAAATGATAAATACACTTATCCTAACTAAATTCTTATTACTTATAAACCTTACTAGACAGCTTTTCTACTTTGCTGAATTTCGGGAGTTCCAGTGCTGATTATTTTATTTACATATCTCTTAATAATTGTGAATCATTAATTTTTAATAACCATGTTAGAATGGCAAACACTACCTTGAACTATGTCATAAATATTAAACACCAGCAGTCTTTTTATTTTAATTTGCAATTTGAAAAGCAAACTGTGTTAGTACTCAAGAGCCCAAGAAATCCTATGCATATTGTAGTTCACCAACTCATAGGAAACAAGGTACCAGAGTAGCCAACATTCAGCCAAGATGGGTCAAAGTTTTACCAAAAAAAATCACCATTTTACTTTCAGGATAGCTTATTTTTAGTTCCCTCATGTGAGAGAGAATATGCTGTGCATATGCTGTCTGATTTATTTCACTTCACATGATATCTTCCAGCTCTATTCATCTTGTGCTAAGTAACAATATTCCAATTTTCTTCATGGCTAAGTAATACTACATAATAACAATATACAAATATAAACAATACGAATGATACATCTACATCTTGATACATAATTTTCCTTATTAATGTATTCATTGGTGGGCACCTGGGCTAATTCCATAGTTTAGCAGTAGTGAGCAGTGCCACAATAAATGTGGGATTGCAGATTACTTCTTTGGCGTGGTTATCTCATTACCTTTGGATGTAAATCTAGAAGTGAGGTAGCTGGATTGTATGGAATATTTATTTTTAGTTTTGTAAGGAAGTTCTGTACTGTTCTGCATAATGGTTGGGTTAATTTACATTCCCACCAACAATGTGTAATATTTCTTTTTTCTCCACATCCTTGTCAACCTTTGTTATTTATTTTGATAATAGACATTCTAACTGGGGTGAGATGGTAGCTCATTGTAGTTTAGATTTATATTTTCCCAATGGCTAGCGGATATTGGGTATTTTTCCCACACATTCGTTAGTCATTTATTTTTGTTATTTGAGAAGTATCTGTTTAGGCCATTTTTCTATTTTTTTTTTCATTAATTACTTTTTTTTTTTAGTTCTTTGTATTCTTGATAGTAACCATCTGCTAAATGAATTGTGGCAAATACTCCCTCTCATTTTATATATTCTCTCTACAATATTGAGGTTCAGTACCACAAGGGAAAAAAGTTTGGCAAAATTCAGCTGTGAAGCTATCTGTTTTCTTTGTTGAGAGGGGGGGCTTTAAAATGAGGGATGTGGTCTTTTTCCTCTTATTCATCTATTCAGGTGTTTTATGTCCTCGTGATTTAATGTGCTCAGAAATGTGTGTGCATCTGCTAGTCTTTCGGTTTGCCATAATAATTCCTAGTGATCCTTGACATTTCTGTGGAATCAGTTATAGTGTGTTTTTCATCTCTGAATTTATTTGGATTTCCTCTTTCTGTTTTTGGTTAGTGTAGCTAAAAGGTTGTCAATTGTATCTAAATTGTGGTGTGGCAAATTCTTTTCAGGTCATATCTGTTTGGGGTCATGTAAACTTCCAATATGCAGATGTCCTCATCTTTCTCAAGATTAGGGAAGTCTCCTGTCACTATAGCATTAATTATTGCCTCACCACCACGTACTCCAGAACTGCAGATACCTGTCCATTTATGGTGTCCCCAAAGTCTTGAATGCAATGCTTTCTTCATTCTCTCCCCTTTTTATCTGAATGGAATATTTGAGAAGACCTGTCTTCAAGTTCAGATATTCTTTCTTCTGTATGATCTGGTCTATTGAGGTCTTCTGCTCTATTTTTTATTTGCTCTGATTTATTAAACTCTTCACTCCGAAGCTTTGTTTTTCCTCCCAAACCTACCTTATCACTGAATTTCTCATTCATATGCTGAATTATCTTCTTAATTTCACTTAATAGTTCATTTATATTCTCTTGGATCTCATTGAACTTTTAAATAATCACTCTAAAATTCTTTATCAGGTATTACATCCATAATGATTTCTTTGAAGTTATTTATAAGGGTTGTCAAAAAATACAAAATACACACACACACACACACACACACACGCATGTATTTTGGTACAGAGTCTCACTAAGCAGCTCAGATTTGTAGTGATTCTCCTTTGTTCAGCCTCCCCAGTGCTGGGTTTATAGGTATATACCATGACACCCAGTCTTGGTGGCATATATGTTGAAATAAAAAATATGTTAAAGTTAAAGACACATCATCATTAATTCCCCTTAAAATACTACCCCTTGCTTCAAACATATTTATCCCACTATTCTTTCCACTTTCTAAAGTAGTGCTGGACATGCTGCTTCTTGAGTTTTAGTGTGCTGTTGTGGCTTTCCTAATGTCATAAATCTATTCAAAATATTAACCTTTCATGGTCATTTTTATTTTGGAGAAGAAGTGCCAGCTCCAGTGAATAAAGTGGTTGAGGACATGCCTATTTTTATGGGCTGGCCTTTCAAATGGATGGTAGTGAGCAATAGCATTCACCATAGTTTTGATTATGTCTTTTAAAGGCAAAGCACTTATGAATGAAGACTTCCAGAACTGCTTTAGAAAGTAGAAAGACCAGTGGGACAGGGATGCTGGCAGTGAAGGGAAGAATTTTTAGGGGGATTCATGGTAATAAATTTTTTTTTACTATAACAAAAACATTTAATATACTCCATATTTTTGATCACTCTGATTATATTTTCTTGCAAGTACCATAATATTACCCAAGTTTTATCGTTTTTTGTTCTACATTATGATTTTCACAGTTATTGAACTAGGTATGTCTACCACTTTCATGTCTTGAGGTATTAGCTTGTTTTGCAGTGTTGGCTTTATTTGAGTTGGCTATGGTCAAGTAGCCTCTCTGTGGCTTCCTTTGCTGTGATTAATGACTTTGGGCACAGTGTGTGCCATGCTGAAGTGACTTGGCAAGCCATACAAGAATGAGGACATCTTTTTTCTATCACAGGAAGCCAAGCAAATGTAATATGCAATCATATGAGATTTACAGGAAGAACAAGCTAACACTTAATGTGGAAAGGCAACAATTTCTACAAATGCTCAGACAACCAACATTATCATTTCATTACTCTCTCTTCGATACAGAACCAATCATATGACATTTACTCGGTTTATCTAAAACACCCCTGCTCCAGTTGAGTCGTAAACAGAATTTACAATAGGTATCCTGAATATTTCGAAATAACTTCTGAACCATAACATTATAAATAATTATATGTTAATAAAATGTGCTATTAAATTCTTCTGGTATTGAGGTCATTTCAGTATATTCTGATTCTCTAGGAAATGAACTCTTAGCTTAAAATTAACATTCACTTAGTAGTATAGTAATCTGTTATCTTATGTGAGGGAAATGTCTGGTGGGACAGAAAAGATCCCTTAAAACAGGCAGCTGCCTGAGACTCCCCTCCATCCCAATTTTCCTTTTGATAAAGAAATCCATGGAAGGGGTAGAAATAAGATATTGGAACCAAAAGCTTTGGATTTCTGGAAAAATTGTCAACTGCTTGGTCAAAGTGTGTCCTTGAACATCACAACAGGAAACAGGCTGGCAACTTGCTGTATTTGGCCAAAGTGTTTTGAAGTGCAGAATAATACAACTGTGCCCACACCTTGCCCAGCACTTAATAAAGAAGGGCAGGTAGGAATACTGTAAGATCAAATGGGAAAAATATTTCTGCAGCTCTTTCAAACTGGGTGAAGGACACCTGAATGATCATCTGGAGCCCACAGTGAGGAGAGTCCTCATTTCTGTATCTGTTATTGAGTTTATATTGCCGAATGTTATAAGGTATAAATTAATTAATACAGCCTACCAAGAGGACTTCCAGATTTGCTACAGAAAGAAAGATCACTGCTTGATTCAAGAGAAGAGGGAGGTGGTTAAATTTTTCTTTTGACCGTTGTAGATTGAAATGAATTGACATGGACTTTACCTAGATTTTGGGAAAGGAGTATTTACCCAATAAATAATTTGTAGCATCAATTTCAACTTGGGAGGTGGGGACCAAGAAGTACTATACTCTGAATGATATGAATACTAACTTTACTCCTGTAGTAAAGGGGCAGCCCCAGGACTTACATCTCTTCCAATCAGATCCTCTTGGTTTTCCACAATCCCCCAGGGGGCGATACCGATGGTGCAGATCTTCCCTCGGGACTTTGAAGCATGGTCCTTCAAGGCATCTCCAACATGGCGGATGACACCTACAAGCAAACAGAGAAGTCTTAATCTTGTCTTTTAGCTCTCCATCATTCCAAGGGGAATCGTGATAATTTTCTCCCAAGGTTAAATGCACTGAATGCACAATTTTGCCACATGTGCATTTTGCCATTTACAAACTACATGATTTAGGAGAGAACATAAACTTGTGGCTGTATAACCAGATAGATTTGCCAGACTGACATGAAATCTAGCCATGAATTTTTATATTTCATGTGAAAAAAATAAAATAATTCAATGTCCATGAAAAGAATATGATTCTTCTTCCTAGGATAGTCATCTGTTTGTATATTTAAAAATCAAAACCTTAACTGTGCCTTGCCAAAATGTACTGTGCAAAATATGATAATAAATCTGTACTACAGTCTGTGTAGTGGTCCAGGTCAAATAGTTACTTAGCTCAGATTTTATTAACTTCAAGGTCATTGTCTGTTTGCATCATATAATAAGGAAAGCTTGGTTGTAAGAAAATGATGGCTTACTCTGGAAAATTTATGTTAAAATATGTATTTTTAAAAATCTTATTCTAATTGGTTTCCTCTTCTATCATAATGTCTTTTCCCCTTCATAGTTAAAAGTGATGAGATTCAGTTTAATGGGGGTAGGGAATATATATATATATCACCATTTATAAAAGGCGAAATTTCTTAACTCTAACTTTCCTCTCAAATGAACATCACTATAGAAGACTTGCAGAACACATTTTCTAAGAAAAGACACCCGTATTTATCAAAATTCTGCATTACTCAAGGAAAAATTCATACCTAGTACCATCCCCTATATGATCATTGAGATGGATTTGATTTCTTATCCATTTCCATATATCTAGCCTGCATATCCTTAGCAGTGCAATCCATCATCTACCATATTTCATAGTGATTCATAGTTGCATGGAAACCTGTCTCTTTTAATAATGAAATTTCTGCAGGGGAAGGTTGCAGGGTCAGTGAGTTACTCAACTTTATGTGCCTTAAAGGATAGCCCAGAGGAAGAGCTCAGAAACCATGCCCTGCATTTGCTAAACTTGCAGAATGCACTGGACTATTTAATCATGGGTGAGAACATGCATGTTTAAAAACCTCAAGTCTCTAATAACCATAAAATTGAAAAGAGAAAAAAAAAGCTTCCCTTTGAAAATTAAATAACAAAATAGTATAAATAACCATTAATTCTTGTTGAACTCTGTGGAGAATATTAGTAGATCATTTTTATTTGTTAGCTTGTCTAAGGATCTTGTAAATGATGCTGCTAAAAACACAGAAACAAAACAAGTAAATCTATGGCCATAACGTTCAACTTCTTGTTACGCCTCTGCCACTATTCTCTCGCACCTAACTCTAGCATCCACCATTAG